AACTTTTGGAGGTATTGTATTCCCCTGAGTTTGTTGTACTCGATTACTATATTATTCTCTCAATACGCGAAATCTCTTATATATGCGATTAAAGCATTTGAGTTAACTTATTTCTTAGTGTTCAAGTACTTACATTTGTAAACAGCAGTCAATGTTAATCTATGAACTAAACCCTACGTGACTGTAAAATCGATCTTTCCTTATGTGGTATTGACGCATCGATGCACGTTTAACTTTTCGCGGCTGTCGGAATCAACGCGCCTACGTCTACGGATCTTACGCAGAAGTGATTCGCATTTCGGTAGAGCTTGTCAAAAGTGTTTTGAGCTTATGTAGTCTAGAATTTGTTCGGTACGGTCGCGAAATTTTGAAATGATTGGTAAAATAACTAAATTGAAACAAAGCTCAATAGTAAAATAAGTAGAATATCTAGGGAGGAAACCAAAATTAATCAACTTGCCAACATAGGCTATCACATTTATTTTGGTGGCACTCTTTAAATGATAATAAGCCTTTTTCTCGCTTCGGTTGTCTCGCACGGCTTTCGGAATTCGCGCGGTTTTCGTAACTTACATAATTTAGATATTTCGTTCGAAACGGATTTACTTATTCAATCGGTTTACTACGCGGATGTATCTACGCGCACATGTCACAGCATTTTTTCTATAACTATCCTGAAACAATACATACGGAATCCAGTGTTCAAGCGGCCAACATAGGCTAGTCCTTCTGCTGTATTGTCAAAGATAGAAGCAAAATTTATTCAAATGGGTCAAGTCTTGAAAACTAAGCTGTCACGCAGCTCCAGCTTGATACCCAATAAAAAAAAGGTCTCGATTTATTTGTCATAAAATATGGATATATTTTTCAGGTTGCCCTATATCCCAGGATCCACAATATCGTCTACTAATTGAATTAAAATTTAATGTAAATTCAGAACACTTTTGACGGTATATCTTAAGGAATTGTGAGAGAATGTGGACTAGAAGAAGGATGATAGGGGAACAGAACCTATCCTCGGCTTATGCTCCTATTTTGGGTCTAACGCTGAAACTCAGGATTGAAGCAACATGTCACTAGTTTTCATTTTCTAATGATATGATGCGGTTCATTATACTCCATTCCAGCAGAAAAATCAGGTCGGAGAAGTTTTAGCATTAAGCTCAAAATAGGACCATAGGTCGAGAATAGGATCACTAACCTTACCATGATCATTCTGAGCAAAACTCCAAGGTAATACAACAGAGAAATCTAAGAGCATGCTGAGGATTATTTCAAGAAGATTCAGGGAGACATAGGAGTTTTCGGAGAATTCATAGAGTGTATGTTACGCAGGATTACAATTAAATCTAAGCATAATTCCTATAGAACCTCAAATAAATTCGGTCAACAATTCCAAGAGGGTTCTGATAAATTTGAGGAGCAATCTAAGGATTTTTTTAGGAGAACTGCAAGTAATCTTAGGTGAGAATGTCATAGCTGTGAGTTGAATTCCAAAGGAAGGAGCATGATTCAAATGGTAATTCAGAAATACAATCAATGAAAATTCTGAGATTAATTCCAAAGGAATTTGAGGAAAATTTCAGGCTGATTTCGAGGAGTATAATTTTCAAAGGAAATTTCCATAGGAACAGTATTTCAAAGAATTTTAAGGATGTCCTAGCAGAACTAAAAAAATATTCGTAATATAATTCCATGGGAATTTCAAGGGAGTATTAAGTGAATACGGAGTTGAACGCCTAGTGAATTTTCAGGACCATCCTTCGGGGAATCCCTACGAATAACAACAAGAAGTATGAATAATTTAATGTTCATTGCAAGGTGGATTCAAATAGTGTTCTAAAGAAGATTTGCATGAATATTATAGAGAAAATGTTAAAGGAATACCAGAGAGGCATCTGAGATGAGGATATTCTGGGATGATTTTTTTTTTCTTTTCAGAATACAGAAATTCTTACAAAATTACAGAATTTGAATTCTATTACTCATGTTTTATTCTTTCGAAATTAATCAATATTCGGTCAAATGACCCGGAACCATTATTTTTGTGATTTGCAAAGGCATTTTTTGTACCTAACAATTTCTTTCGAATGTTCATTAAAAATTGTGAGTTACAGGTACAACGTAAAATGAAAAGGTAACGGCCTTTCTCGGTGTGTTTTTCATAAGATAAACAATCCTTATGTTTATGCTTAGTACGTGTCCACGCACTGGGATCCTCTTCGATGAGCTCCAACGCCTGGCAACGGCTGAGCGAACTATCCGGAAATGGTCACTGGTTCAGGGGTTTAGCCACAGTAAGTTCAAACTCTTTAGTCTTTAAAAAGACTGATTGGTTGGCTGTGTGGTTGGTTTCGGTCAGGAGAAAAGAAATGAACTCGCGGCGTTAGATTGATTGTATATTGATTGGTGTGATTCTTATAATGGTTCGATTTTTACTGATGTAGGGGAAAATTGGTGCCGGTACTTTTATACCTACCGACTCGATCGAGAGTGATCGAGCCGGAAGGATATTCCTATTTGATGTAGTTGCTTGTGTATTCCTACTGTGTGGAGTATAGAGCGAAATACAATTGTGTGCGGCGTGTGGGTACAATACATTTGGATTTCTGCTTGTTCTTTGTCGCTTGTGCAGTGGTATCTCGGACCATCGCGTTGTTCGCGACAGTACGTTTAAACAGTATATTTAACGATTAACAATATAGGATGTTCCAATTATTTAACTATTAACCCTTTGTAAGTCAGTAACAACTATATTGCCACCAACAATTCATATTTGTTGGAGTTAGTTGGAAATGGAGTACGGCAGTGTGAAAATTGATTAAAAGTTGAAAATGAGCGAAGGGCCACAGTATTAGTCAAACACGCACTTCTTTACCTAACTCATACATCAATCGATGAAGAGACTTGAAGTATTTCTTCAAATCTACAGGCAAAAGAGTGCGCATTTGACTTGCTCATATACTGTCTGCGACTGTGGAATAGTTCTAGCGACGTTTAATCACTACCTAAAGCCCCACGTTTCCGAAAGCATGTTCACTCGATGGTGTGTAATTCTTCTTTACTCAACTATTGTGTTGCTCCTCTCGTCATGACCACGTAGTCATCTCAGAGAGAAATATTTGTTTCTGTTCACTCTTGTTTGTATCTTTGTTTTTAAGTGCTGGATACTTCTGCCATTAGTCAACGTTCTTTATTTTTCTGAGCCATAACAAATGTACAATGACAAATTTACAGCAATATTTGTGTCAACAGTCGGCCATTAATGAATAAAAAAGATTAAACTGTTATATTTTTTTGTGTATTCATCGTATTTTAATAGAATTGATGCCAAATTAACGATCGCAAAATCTCAACTTTGTTGATTTATTATTCATAAAAATATTCTTCTTCTTCTTCTTCTTCTTATTCGCATATTAAGCTTATTGCTTAGCGCATATTAGCTTATTGCGTGCTCTCAACTTAGTGTTCTAAATGCACTTCCACAGTTATTAATTGAGAGCTTTCGATGCCAATTACCAATGCATGAATTTGTATATTGTGTGGCAAGCACAATGATACTCTATGCCCAGGGAAGTCGAGAAAATTTCCAACCCGAAAGATTCCCTCGACCGGACCGGGAATCGAACCCGCCGCCTCCGTCTTGGTAATACCGTGCCTTTACTGACTAGGCTATGAGGCCCCATAAAAATATAGTAGTTAGAATAAAGCTGCTCAAAATAGAAGAGATTTTCTATAATTGCTCTAACTTCCGACAGCTTGAATAGTCTATAAATCAGTTGTCAAGAACCCATGAATTTAGATGCGCGCGCAGAAAAAATATCTCTTTCAACTTTTTTTTTGGAGAAAAACCAAAATTTGGACCAATTTTTTTTCATACAAAATGTTTGGCTTATTTCCTCAAAAAAAAAATTGTATTTGTTCATAACACCTTGTGAACATTATCTTTTATTGTAGTACGAGTTATTTTGATGCATGGTTTGTTCTGCCTTATAAAGGGTTAACAAGAGGGGATATTTTGGGCCTCCCTTAGTTCGGCTGGGTTCGATTTCCGGTCCGATCTAGGAATTTGTTGGGTAGAAAAAGGTCTAGACTTCCCTGGGCATACAGTATGATTGTACTTGCCACACAATTATGCTAATGCACAAATGATACGGGCTTAGAAAGCTCTCAATTAACAACTGTGAAAATTCCCAAAGGACACCAAGTTGAAGACCGGTTTAAAGTTCCAGCAGCAACGCAATAAAGCCAAAGAAAAAGAAGAAAGATATCCCACAAGCTACTTTCATAATGCCCATATTACGGGCAGTATAGCAGTCAGGATATTTTGTCACTTTCATTATTAAGTTTTCTACATTCAACCCTCCCTAACTCGATAATGAAGGGATTATTGAGTCACGAAGATGCTGTTTTCAATATTTTTATAGGTGAGGTGGTCGAAGTACATCGAGTAGGAAAAACATCGAGTAAGAGAGATTGTACTGTATTACTAAAGGCATTCTCAAAAGATAAATTCCTTAATGCTTCAGGCAACCAGTGAAAATTAATCGCTTCGTGATTCATTAAACAAACCATCAGATATTGCGGAGAAAACGTCCACGTCTCTTCATTGAACCTCGCCTCATCCCCTTCATCAGTTCGAAATGGTCTCACTCAAAAACAAATCTCCTGCTGCTGTTTTCCGCCTTAATTCACATCTCTTTCATTTTTTTTGTTTTGTCATACATTTTCAAAGCACACCGATAAAATATCGATTTTCGGCACTCTTGCTGAGGCTGTATACCCACTACTTATGTGAACGACAACAGTGCCAGTAGCGGTGCTGCTGCTGTCGTGGTTCATCTCACTCGCATTCGCTCGTCCCCTTTTTTCCAGTGGAGACAATCGGCGGAAAATTTGGCGAAGCGGAAATGAGCCTCGCAAAATCATCCCCACACACAAAGTCAGAAATGGTAGTTGGGCTTTAAATTTGAATGAAAAATACTCTATGATTTCGTTACCTTCAACTGGATTATATAAACCACCGAGGATAATCGTACTGAACAGGGCAGACACCAGCAGGCTTGAACATTGATCCATATTTTCCTGCAGTTGTTGTTGTTGTACTATTTTCTATTGTACTGCTCCGGCGTTTCCTTGAATGTGTTATTTTTTTTTTTTTTGCAATCGCGAGGTGTAGATTGCTGTGAAACTGCACTATTTTTTGCCTATTTTTTTTTCTTTTCACTACGATTTGTTTGCACTTGAGATATGTAGGATACACTATTTTTTGTAAACTTCTCCTTCGCTTTTTTTTTCTCAAACGCGTGGGCGTGAAAGGGACTTTGCTTTTCTTCTTTGTGGTTGAATTTTTGTTTCCACTTCTTTTCACATCGCAATTCACATTCGTTTCCAATTCAGAGAGAACCACTTTTCATCATTTTTTGTCGATTAAACACTATCCATCATCAGCCAAAAATGTGAAGAATCTGATCGATTGAAACACCCGGAAAATAGTCACACACTGGGAAAAGGGGTTCGAGGAAGGATTCACAGCAGAGACACATCGGAAAATCCAACATCGGACGGGCTGCCAAAAAGTGGGCTCTCATCAATGGAGAGGGGTCGATTGGATCCTCCTCGTCGTGCATGGGCTGGAAATTAGAAAATTGTCCCGTGCTGCTTTTCAAACTTTTTCCCACTTTTCTCACTCTCTCTGACCGTACGGAAACTGAATTTAGAAATTATACACATCGATGGAAAAAACTATCATGTGAAAAGACACACCAACAATATGCTTCTGCTGCTGCTGAACAACATTTGCCCTTTTTCCATCACACTTGCCCCTACCGCGCATTTCCTCACACCGCTCTTTTATTCACTGTGTCCGAACAAGAGAAAAAAAAAAAAAATGAAGGAAACTTTTCCTATGCGACTATGTATTGTGGCCAAAAAGTTCTCCAGACCGTACAATTTTTCTCACTCGGAAGGCATTCTTGCGCGTAGTTTTCCGAACGAATTTTACTCAAACTTTAACTCGCAACATTTGTTTTACACTTGGGGACATTTTTGGGACCCTATCAATGGTGGAAAAGTGAAAAATCATCCTTCGAAGAAAACACTCCCAAAACACAACATGTACACTCTTTTTCGCAGTCAAAATTATTCTACGAAACATGAACATGTAGAATAAGGAGGGTTCCATTCGTCGGTGTTTGGTGGTGTTTGTGTTTCATCCCAAGGCTGTTAAAACATTAGGCTGCTAGACTCAAACATGGCAGTCGCAGCATAAAGTGGGGTCTTTGCTCGTGTGTGTGCGCGAGATTATTTTGGTAAACATTATGCTTGACAGCACCACATGCATAAAATGACCATGGTGTATCTTCTGCATGTCGTTTCGGTTTCAATATTGATGTGGATTGGTATTGTTATTTTCCCCTGTGACTGTCCTAATAGAAAAGTGCAATAAAAAGTGCCTAACGGCGTTATTGGCGTATCAGCCAGATGATACCATTCGGGGTATCGTTCGTTTATGGTTTCAGTTTATTAGGGTGTGAGCCGAGTTATCTGTAGAATTGGGTGAAAAGTGTTTCTCTATTTATTTCACGAATTATTCAACCATACAGGCTTTATTGGTAAGCGTGATTATTTCTCACCCCAGCAGGCCTGGGTTCAATCCCAGTCGGCGCTGCCGGGATGTTCTGAGGCATAACATCTCTGATCACGCCTTCCTTCGGATGGGAAGTAAAGCCGTTGGTCCCCGGTTCATGAGTTGATGGGTCGATAGGTAGGGTCCAGGTGTGAGAGCTGCCTTCCTGGCGTCGGTAGCATTGGTATTTGGTATTGAAAAAAAAAACAAGATTTTAAATATTGTGTTCCTGTTCTATTTTGCTATCTGCTTGGGTTTGAAGAGAATAGTGGCAGGTTATTAAATGCAAAGGCATCGCTCTCTATGTCTTAATTTTCATAGTGATTTTTTATTTAGTAGTTTTCTTGGGGATTATTACTTTGCCTTGCGGACCGTGAAGTCGTGATGTGTAGCTATTGTGTCATGAGGGATATTTTTCAGTTTTTTCGCCGCATAGTGATGACGGATAGAAAACAGATTCGCAAAAGAGTGTTAAAATGTTTAATCGAAAGAAGAAAAAAAAAATTAACAGAAAGCATCAGCAATCAGTAAAGTTTCACCAAGAAGACAACTGAATTGGTGACTTCGTTCCATTTTATTCATTTTTGCCATGTACTAGGGAAAATGGATGTAATGTCGGCCTAAATGCCCCTAATTTTGGCCAAGGTTTCATAACCAGATGATGTAATGTGGTCTTAGGAATAATATTCAAATGATTAGCAATGCTAAAAATTACAATACATTCCCGCCAATACATCAAACTAAAAAAAAAATCTTATGAAGGTTTTGTACAAAAAATAAGGTTGCTGGTTATTCGGCTGGATGGGTCATTTAACCGAATGCCGTTTGGCCGGATGCCATTTGGCCGAGTACTGATTGGTTGCAAATTTATAAACGAAATTGAAATTGAATCTGTACTGTGCTCCGAAAGAATCTCCTAAGTTTATCCCAAATATAACTTGAATATTAAAACTCTAAAGAACTGCTCATGTTTACAAGGGTATCTAACTAAAAATGATTATTCAATAACTAAAAAAAGAACAGCTCGTGGTTGCAAGAGTAATTAATATTTTGAAAATTAAAATTCCTGTTTTATACATATTGAAAAATTCTCCATTTTCCTAATCTCAAAAAATCAGAATTGTGGAAAGCCAAAACAAATAAAAATACCCGAATCGTATAAATCTACTAAGCTTTGGATCTGGAAACTTAAAATTAATCCAAAACAAATTTGAAATACTCAGGAATCTAGTAGTGTTCGATAAATTAAAATCTCTTTTCATGTATTCGACCAAACGACATTCGGCCAAATGGTATATCTATATCATATCTATAGAAGACTCAATAGGTTTAACCGTTACAGTAAGAGAATTTTGTTTATATTTTCTATTCTGTGTTGATCGTATTCGTAATTAGGCTGAATTGTGAAAATTAAGACATTTATCTCAGAAATTATTTTATAAATCTTTTTTAAATCATTCTCGAATACTTTTCAAAGTGACATATCTACTTTTGTAAATAATGCATTTGATCGTCGGTTTGGCACGCTCACGCACAGGGCTGGTAGCAGGTCACTTTTTAGTGACTTGGTCACTATTTTCAAGTCAGTCACTAAAAAGTCACTTTTTTCACCTAAAAGTCACTAAAGTCACACACTTAGAAAAAATCATGTAAATTTAGGTGCTCTGAGACTGACATATACGAGCGTCAATTTTGACATAAATTTGAGTCATAATAGACGCGAAATACAACTCAATCAAATGTTATTTTCGTCGAACAACGAACTTATCAGTCTCGCAGCACTTAATTTTACATGACATGTTTGTTTACGTCTCATCTTTTATGTCAAAGACGGATTCCGTCACGTGTAAAATTAGTTATTTTGTAGTGTGCACTATTTCTTAAAATTTAGTCACTAAAGTCACTTTTTTATGACTAATAATGTCAAGAGTAAATAATTTGCCTTTAAAAAATCACATCAAGTAAGTAACAGCGTAACAGAGTAACAAATTTGTGTTAAAAAGATTTATTAAAAATCAGCGTGTAAAGTCCGATAAAGAAGAGTTGCGAGCTGTTCAATTGATGCTGATGGAATCACTAATATTTTTATTTTTTTCATCTTCGTGATCTAGACATTCAGGTCCGTGATCTTCGATTTTTTTCCAGACCAGATTATTAAATTTCTATGTTTTTCCTTTGCCTTGTGATCTAGAAATAGTCAAAGAAAATTTTATCGCGAATTTCAGGGGTTTCGATAAAAAACCTGAATCCAACATCCTGGCTTCTTTACTTCGTGATCTTGGAAGTTGTCCAAGTCTTAGATATTTCGAATAATGGTCTAGGAAAATTTACTTGCGCTAGACATTTTTTCAAAGACTATAATTTTGAAAAATCTTTGAAGCTCGGTATCTTTAATATTCGTAAAACATTTCCAAGACTAGGTTTTAGAATAAAAAATCTATGTTCAAGATCATAAAATGTTATCTACGTTTCAAAAGTATTTGAATTATTCAAGGACAGTGATCTTACATTCCATGTATTCAAAATGTGATAATTATTCCGGGCCGTTTCTTAACTTGTTTGTCGTAGAGTTTTCGAATGCTTAAGCCCCAGAATTGAAAAATGTTGGTCCAAAATCTCTAAAATTTATCCCGGAATCTTTCAATTTTTTTTTCGATTTCCAGAGGTTTAGTCCGAGACGCATAGAAAATATTCTACACGGCAAGTAAATCTGGCTCAAATGTGAGTCCCGTTCACTAATAGTCGCATTTGAGTAAATTTTTACTCAAATATGAGCAAATACACTCATATTTGAATGACATTTATTCATATATGAGTAACATTTACACATCTTTGAGTAAAAATTTACTCATTCTTGTGATACGTTTTTGAAAATTTAAGTGAACTTGTCTCAAATATGAGTAAGATTAACTAACCGTGTGCATTCACGATCTTTTCATCTTGGAAAATTTTCCTCGTTTCAGAATAATGAGATTTCTTCTTGGACCGCTATCTAGAAAAATTGTGCTATGAAAATTTTAAGTGTTTCAATAGTTTCTATAACCGAGGTCTTTAAAATTGATTGTCTAAAAATTGTCAACATTTGTCTTGTTATTAATATTTGATTTTATTAGGTAATTATAAGGCAAAAGGATGATGCAAATAATATATTCATAATTCATAAATTAATAATAAAAAAATATTTTCTGTACTTTAAGGATAAAGCGTAGAGTAGAAAACGATTTTAAAAAGAGTTATTTTTCAAATTTTGGGTGGCATAAAACAAAAATCAAATTAGCATTAGCCATAATCATGAACAGCAAATCCTCTAATTTTGGTGAATTTCCCGGTTGTTTTGAGATCAAAGAATTCATCCCAAGATTCGTTTCGAAAAAACTTACTGAAACTTCCTTGCATTCTATTTAGAATTAATCTGAATATTCCTTATAATTTTCATGCAATTCTCATCAGAATTGTCATACAGTTCTGCTCATAATTATCTTGGAGCTCTCCACTAAATTATTCTGAAAATTCGCTTGAAATTCTCCTCAGAATACCCTTGAAATTCTTATCGAGATGCTATTGAAGTTAAACTTGGAGTTCTCATTAAACTCATCTCAGAATTACTTTGGAATTGTTCCCTCAAAATTCTATTTCCTTGGTATTTATCGTGAGATCGTTGAAACTCTCTTGATATTATCTTTAATTTTCTAAGCATTTCCTTCGAATTGTCATCACAATTCTTCTAAGAATTTATTTTGAATATTCATTTGAAATGGACCTGGAATCCGCTTCTCAATCATCATGAATTTTCCAACAGAACTACCTGAAGATTCTACTCTGAACGTCTGAAGTCCCACAAATGACTGGAAGTTCTAGTGAAATCTCTCTTAGAGCTCTTAAAAAAAAGATCTATTGGTATTTTTCTCTAAAAAACATTGTTTTTATCTGCAGAATTCATCCTAAAATCTTTTCAAAATCCTCATAATATTTAGTTCTTTAAAGTGATTGTATCCTGAAAACATTTTCCAGTCCAGGAGCAATTGTTTAAATGTCCAGAATCTTATTTTTCCCGGTTTGTCATCGAAATTAACGGGCTTTTCTAGTTTTTTTCCACGGCGATTTTGAATTTGCGCCTTTTTCCCGGTTTTCCTGAATTCCTGGTTCACTGTAAAATAAATAAATATTAATTTTTCGGGACAAATTATGGGATCGGTTTACCATTATTTGTTTTATTTTAAAGAAGCATGAAAAATGCTCAGGATGGGTTGTGATTGTGAGTTTATAAAATGTCTCGAAGTGGGTTGCAGTGTCTGATACAGACAAATGCATACACTGCACTGAGTGTCTGCTCATCGAGGTTCAATCCCAAGCCCGTTCACTTGAAACATTTGTAAGTATGCTTAATTGCCACGGTTCAATTTTTCAGTAACGTTTACCACTTCTGTATAGGATAATGGTATGGTATGTGATGACTGTGGTTATTATCTTTAAAGTTCCAATGATGTCAAATTATATTTTGTCAAAATTGATCAAGACAGCAGTTTTAAATTTTTGCTATTTGTTTTCACTAGAATAGGATGGTGCTAAACGCATCGCAGGAGGATCAATGCCCGAGCAAAGTCGGTTAACAAAATGAAAGCAAATCGATATTAAAGATTGCAGTTCCTATCATAATGAATACTCATTTTGATTACAATTGTCACGACATTAGTCTGATATCATATTGTGCTTTCATTATGCAGTCAAGACATTTTAAATGAAAGCAACTTAACTTGAAGTTCTGCTGTTAACGTCTTGTTTAAAATTTAAGTTAAGCTTATCTGTCGTTGAACTAACGATTATTGTTTAATTGTTTTGTTTAACACATTTTAGGTCATTCGTAACCAACCTGAGGTGACATTTGAGCTCAAGTCTTTCAGCGTGAGAAGCTTGGATGCTAACCATTTACACCAGGCCCGTATTTAGTCAAACATTATGAATGCAAAATCGGTAATCAAATTGATTTCATTGAAAGCAGGATTAGTTTTCCGTTTGATTCAACAGTGTAAAATTTTGCTCTCATTTTTGATGTGTTAACCGTTAAGTCAACCAAAATGAGATCAAATGGAGTATTCAAAATAAGTTACATCATAACAGCAAATTCTGATTTCAATTTGATCTCTAACTTTGCTCGGGTGTCGGTAATTATACATGGTCATACAATTCACTATCCAGCTTTTTACACTGGCTATAATTTATATCATTCCCTTAGTTTGGAATTAGGCGTTTCCCTTTTTTATGGCACTGTTGTAGGATGGCATGCTTTTTAAAATCAAATCCAAAATTATGACAGATGTGTTTGTTGTGGAATATTCTTAACAAAGTATTTACATAGATTTTATCGATTCCTAATCAAAAACTTTAAATTCGTATGAATTTCGTTTAATTTATCCTTTTTAGGCATTTCCATGAACATTTCGGATCTAGTTTCAAGACAAGTGTGTTTAAATACAGTAATTTCATATGGTCTATTCTTTTTCTATAGCTGATCAAAAGTTATACCAAAAATAAATCAATTCTAAAAAAACTTAAATAAAACAAAAATATCCACAGATCAAAAGCTTTAATTTTTTTTTTCTACATATATCCAATATTGAATGCTGTCAGCCTTGAAAATTCTGAGGTGCGATTACGTAGATATGGTTTTTGAAACTTATGTCAAATTGAATGGTCTTTGTTCAACATCTTTAAAATGAAGCGTTAAAACAGGGTGGTACTTTGGGCAAAGTTTCTTGTTTTGTTGAAATACGTTAGTAGAAATATAAAGACTACTATTTTTGATGATAAAACCATGGTTAAGTGTAAAGCTGTTCTTCATTGTCTTTAAAAAAAATATGAATATCTTGAAAACCAAGGCCACAACCATTTTGACGTCTTCGTGAGAGTTTCATATTTTGACTAACTTTTCAAAGACACCAAATCTCCAGAATTACTAACTTAAAAAAATACATTTTGAATCGCAGTTCAGTATGTACTAGTTTAGTAAAAAATCGTTTTTGATCATAAAATGTTTTTATAAAAAAAAAACATTGCCGAAAACAAAAAGTCACTCAAATTTCTCGTTTCGGAGTTATTAATTTTGTTCCGCTAGATTGCATTCCTGGAACACTGTGCAATGACCGTATTCGTATCGGTGACATTTTCAAATAAACTAATAAAGACATAACGATATGTCGATGAAGCTATCCAGCATGTAATATTTATATATATTAATTGATCATCGGATGATTTTCTATAATAACCACTGAACTGCTTCTCCAGACTCAAGCTTTGGTGGCTCGACGAATAACTTACTTTATCCCAATTTCGAGATGTTCTTCCATGTGAACAGAAAAGAAATCAATTCACTGAACAGATACAGAGAATGATAACATTTCTACCTATAGTAGGTAGTAATTTTCAATGACGTTTCGTTAGGTAAAATAACTTGTGTTGCTTCGGAATAGGTAGATTTGGCATAGTCTGTCAAGTATACCTATTAGAAAGCAAATCCAACCGTTTTGTGTTAATAATAATCACTTGTGGAAGACCATTACCTCAGTACAAATATCGAATTTCCACCAAGAAATGGGCAAACTGACCCGCAATCTTCCCCGCATTTCACCCATTCCGGAGAACACGGTGTGCTGCGAGTATCACTTGGAAAAGGCGCAATTTTTTTGTAGTCATTGTCACACATCGGTTTGCGATTACTGTGCCATGGATCAGCACTTTGAGCACACGTTCCAATCTTTGGAGAAAATTCAGTACAGGAGCAAGAAGGTGAAAACAACATGCGATAAATCGGTGGAGGTTCGCGTAAGGGACATTCAGAAAGCTTTGGCCGATTTGGAACTGGAGATCATGTGCAAGAAAATAAAGAAAGTGAAGTGATTTTTTTCATATTAATTTAAATTTTCAATAAAGTCTTGAAAACTCTTGTTCGATAATTTGTAGTTACCTCTTAGTATCACAGTCATAATCTGCCGCTTTCACCCTATTTCCCATGGTCAGTGGCACTATGTTCTCACTATACAAGGATAAATAATGCAATGTGCCCCTAACAACCGTTTCGCCGAAATAGGCAAACAAATCACACCTCAGTCAGTGTGTTGTTAGTGCGGAGTTGGCAAAACTTTTCCACTTTGATTATCATCAAAATTTATTAGACTTTCTTTGGTTAGTGTATAAAATAATATGAACATTCTAATCTGGGTAAGCATACTTTGTTTAATTCGCGATGGAGAGGCCAAATTAGTCGAAGGACACTTGAAAACCACTACGGTAAGCAATCAGGTTACCTTCGCAATGAAGGAAAAAGCTTCCCCTTGGTAACGGCCGAAAGAGCAATGGTCTACTTCTTTTCCTCCGTAGGATTGGGCATTTCTGGCCAGATTCTGTTTTCTATCGAACCATGGACGGTACCAGTATGAGATTGAGTACGAAAAACGGTACGGGGAGTTAAAATTGTTGCTCTACTACGATGACAAAATGCAATGGCCCGCTGTGTACAAAACTGAGAAGGTATCGACAAAATTTGCTGAATTAATATACGTAAATTCTTAAACATTTTTTTTCAATTATAGACTTGTTCCGAAAAGTTATCCGTTTTGAGCGCGATCGACAATCAAATCGTGCATTTAACACCGAGAAATCACCTCTACTCTGGATGCAGCCTGCTAACGCAAAATTCCCGAGAAAATGGTGGAATACCGAGAAAATCTAGCCCGGATCCAACAGTGGGACGTACTCCCTCGAATGACGATGACACTTTTACGTATGATCAGTTTTTGAAAACAAGCACACCGGAAGTGAGTGTGGGTACGAGTGAGGGATTCGACTGGAACGTGACGGATATCGATTTATCTACCGTGGAGAACAGCACATTTGAACCGATGATGTTAGACCCGGTTCAGAGTGTCGAATTCAATAGTTTGGAAAATAGTACCGACTACAAGGTGTACGTGGAACAACTTTTCGACAGCTCAGCAGAGGGTGAGGGAAATGTGACTCGAATAAGACGAGCTGCAAAGTATGACTCAAAGCTGATCATAAGTTGCAGCAATCATGGAACGTTCACCAGCTCCAGACAGAGGTAGCAAGATTTGTGATTATTTTTCTGGAATACGAACTGACTTTGCTGGTCCTTTGTTTTAGGTGGTGGTATATTGCTATTTCGAACTGTGGAAGCAACCGAGGATTGGATGTGTTTTACAGGTTCAAGATGACAAATGGAGTTCCGGGAGATTTTTGGCATGAGCATTATTCTGCCGATGAAATGTGTAAGTATCATGTTTAAGACACAGTTTAGGGTTTTATCTTTTTATCACTGGGAATTCAATATGTTTCTTGATGCCTTAAATTATGACACGTTACAAGGCTATTTTGATGACTTTTTTTCGTGTCGAAAATATTGTATTCTGAACAAGACATTAAACAGTAGTAAATATCTATGATGGAGCTTGAAATTAATTTCCAGTCAATTTTAGTTGACTCTTACTACTCATTTTCAGGGATACGCGCATAGGGCTACATTTTACAATAGAATATCATATCAACATAATAGAAGTGATAGAATTTCGATTTTTTAAATTTTGTTTTGATCTGAGCGATAAACGTTTTGAGGGTTTATTTTTAGAGCAAGAGTCTACTTTGGTGCAAAATGCGCATTGACTTTTGACGTAGCAACATTTTTCCATCAGGGAGCGCAGAACATTGCAAGAATTATGATTTTATAGAATTTTGGAAGTTCCACGAAACTAACCTGATAAATTCAATTTCAGCAGTTCTTGGATTTTTTGGGGTATCTAAAGTACTTCTAGCTGAAGGGTGCTTTGATACTCCTTTTAATACTTCCGAATTTACGAGAGCGTTTGGAAATCTGGATTATTTTTATTGAGATTTTTAAGAGAAATCTGAAGATTTGCGCAACTCTTCGTATTCTACATTAAAAATTTCGAGAGTATATTAACAGAACTTTGAGAGCTTTTGAAGCTTCTGGAGCTTCAAAAAATGCCTCGGGTTACTAAAAGGACTAGGTGTTTCGAGAATTCTTAATGTTTATTGAGTTATATATTATCGAAGCATGTTTTACGTTATAAAGTTTTGGATTCTCATGCAATTCTGAAATTTTCTTAAACTTATTGCTTGTAGGTCTTAATATCTTTGAAATATCTAACGTTCTTAGAGCCTCAAGTGGTCTTAAATTTTCCGATGAACTCGATAATCCCAGAACTGCGAGAGCTTTCAAAACTCCAATTGCAAGAATTTCAGCAACTCTAAAAATTATTCCCTTTACTAGTGATTCCTAGCTTCATAGCTCTTCGAGAGCTTTTCAATCATACAGTATGTTTGGAAAATTATGGTACTTCGAAAAAATTAAACTCCCGGGAACTGTGGATAGTTCTAGAATAACTAAACTTTTAGGAATTCATAGAACATAAATCTTTTATAATGCAAAGATGTGACTGTTATGCTTTTATGGGCAGTCCAGTAGTCCTAACAAACTATTAGGAACTCAAAACATTCAAATTCGGCTCATTGAATTGCAAAAACTTTCAGATCTGAGAATAACATGTAGAACTAAAAATTGAAGTCCGGGAATTCAAGCTCCAGCATCTCTTAGAACTCTTGTAAAATCTATAAAAGAACTGTAGAACTCCCTGAATATTCAGAATTGCAAGAAATTCAGTAATTCGAATTTTAAACGTTAAATACCTTCCACAGAAACTTCAGAACTCCAAGAACGCCTCGATCCCCAACAACATGTAGAAGAAATCTCTAACAGTCAATCTACATGTTCAACAACTTTCTAAAGGTGAAAATAAAAATAATAGTACTTTAAATTGATACAAATCAGTGAACCATACATTTTGGGACCGATTTGAATATAGATAGGGTAGAGAACTACTTCAGCCTAATCGCCCATTTTGGGCCTATCGAGCAGAAAACTTCAAATAAATCCATGATTTCAGAGTTAACAAGTCAATTATGCGTTTGGTACGATACTTTAGTTAATAAGCTACCGAACGAAGTCAATGAGAACGCGTGGTATGAAAGTTTGCACCCATTATTCCCAAAAACAAAAGAAGCACTCCGACCGAATCAATTTTTATCTTCATCCGATAGGCCGAAGTGATTTCATGGGCTTTTCAATTGCGTTTCAATGCGTTAGGTCGAGTTTAAAAGCCGTAGGCCGAGTTTGGCGTCAAGAAGCAGTGTTGGACTTTTGACAATATCTTTACGATTGGTTTCTCGTTTTCAAATCTTATGGTACGTACGGAAAGGTAATAAATTTGGAAGCCATCAGTAATAATAACATTCCGTTTGGTGCTAAACTGATCCAGATTAAGAAAGACTAAGTGCGGGTTATGCTTAATAGGCCGGAAATGGGGTATTTAACCCTATGGCTTTAAATTACGTTTTCAAAGTTGTTGAACAGGTAAAAAGTGAGCTTACGCAACGCCAGTGATATCTAAGTATGGTGCTATGGAAGCTTACACTGCCCATTAATGCATAACAGCCTCAGTGATCTTCTGGAATCTACTATTTACTACCTGAATTTAATATGTACACAAAAAGTGAACTACTTTGTTCTCAAAATATCGTAAGAAGTACCAAAACTCGGTTGTCCCAGTCATAAGGTGCCATGGTGCTGGCGTTTTTCTCGGCTTGCTGTTTTTCCACATGGGAATGTAATGCGTTTATGGACCTTTTTACCCAAGAACTTCTCGATCTCCTGCTAGATTTTAGCAATTCCAAGAAATTCTGATGCTCTACGACTGCAAGAAGTCCTGGAACCTCTAGCAAACGTTTGAACTCTTATAAATTAAAAAAAAATGATGCTCCATATTTGCTAAAACTCAAATAAAATGTATTTGAAATAAAGGCTACGCATAACCTTGTTTTCCCCTTTATTTAGGAGATTTTAATTATGCATAGCTATTCCACCTATTTCAATCAAGATCTCCTGATCTGATCAAAAACCAACTGGAATGGTACAACACAAATGCTTTCATTTCAGACATCCCCCCAATACTTCTGGTCGAATCTATTGCATACACACTGCTGCTGTTGGCGGTATTCCTGTGTGCCATCGAACTGAAGTCCCGCCATCTGTACCATTGCACCTACCGATTGTTTGCGCTGAGCGTGCTCCTACAATGGTTTGGGGTGCTTCTGCTGAGCACCACCTGGGCCAAGTATGCCGTTTCCGGAATTGGACCGTTCACCAGCTTCGGTGGGTTCTTCACCAGTGCCAGCGAAATCACGTTTCTACTGTTACTACTTCTGATGGCCAAAGGATACACGATCACCCGAGCCCGACTGAAGACCTGCTCTACGGTTAAGATTACGGTGTTTACAAATCTCTACGTTATTGTGTATATTACACTGTTTATATATCAGTCCGAGGTATCTATTATAATTGACTTAACGTAAGAAAACTTATTTCAATGCATTTTGTCACTGCTTGCCAGGCATTTGACCCCGGAGAAGTACTGAACCTGTACGAATCACCTGCCGGATTTGGTCTGGCAGGACTTCGTTGCGTGAGTTGGGGTTTCTTTATTTATTCCAGCGCTGCCACGATTCGCAAGTTCAGCGAAAAAGGACCGTTCTATTACCCATTCACTCTGCTAGGATCGATGTGGATCATGAGTGGACCGATCCTGACGGTTGTCGGTGTGAACGTGCTCGATCCATGGGTTCGGGAGAGTGTCATGTTCGGAGCACTTGCAGTGGTAGCATTTTCGGGCCATTTGGCATTCCTTTGGCTGACGTGGCCTTCGAGGGCTAACAAGAGCTTTCCATACCACGTTCGAACTAATCATGTAGGAATTTCAACTGTTGACGATGAGGTGAACTATCCAAGGCATGCATATGAACCGGCACCACCGGAAACTGGAATCATTATTCCGCTGTCAAGGTAGGAATGAGGTTTTCTTAAATTTATGCTATACAAAAGGGTAACGCGTTTGATTCTACAGTAACACGGCAACCCTGAATGGGATCTACGACCAGTACCTGCGCGAACGAGACATCTACCACAGCACTTCGACGCCAATCAGCTACGCGTCATTCCCGGTGGCGGCGAAAAATGTAAACAACAATCATCATGTCCGTCATCAAAATCACAATCTCACCCTTGCCAGGCCTCAACCATCAATCAGCGAATCCCTGGCAGAGGACAATCAACACAACATCTACAGCCCACCTGCTAGTGCTCCGCAAAGTTTGGTCATAAGTAACGGAAGGCATGGTGGCGATAACAACAATAACAACAACGATGACGATGGAAATAACAACAACTATGGCAACGACATACTAGTCGATTCCGGGCATCCTTCGTTGGACATTTCGATTTCGACAAGCCCTCCGAAGCACGATGGCACCGGTTCGATCAATAACAATCATATCGATGAGAATGGCGTCCAGAGACCTCTTTCGGATATGGGCAGTATCACACCGTCGGCACCCCCAGCTCTGGATGCGACGGATATCAACAGCCCCAGAATGGAACCGAAGCCTTTCAATCCCTTCATTGTGGGTGCTGCTGCGGCGGCAGCTGTGGCTGAGGAAAGGCGACGCAATAAGATCATTCTGCCCAGTTTGGAAGGACATCATGCCGACGGTACGGTTCCGAAGCATCTATTTGCTGCAAAGCGCGAGGAGAGAACGAGTTAATCTGGGTTATAAGAGCATTATGTAGTATACGTTTTGGTTGGTTGTGACACGTGTATAACAGTTTTGATTCAGTTGATGTGCACATATAAATGAATAAATCTTTAGATCTACTATGACGATAATAGCGCAGTTTTTTTTTCTTCTGATTCATAACTTCTAGAGTTAGCGAGCATGGAGTTTTAAATTATCTCGAAAGTGGGAGATGCGAAAATATGATTAGAAGCCAATTATAAACAAACTCTGATAAACATCGACTACATAAGTTAATGTGACTTGCCTCAACATCAGGTCTATTTTATCCCTTTCGTGACAGGGAAGAAGTTCATATGAGTATTTTGATCGTAATTTAAATTGATTATGATTATATATTAATTTTCAAATTCTAGCACACATGAAATAAAAATAAGTAGGCACAAGATCGCGTCCCGGGGCAAGATGAGCACACTTTATGTTCACCTTATAAATCTATTGTTTTTTTAAACTGTACATACGTGTTTTTAAACAATGATCCTATGATGCAACGCTCCAAAAATGGTTTAGAAATATTCAATAATTACTGAGAATTGAAAATATGCCGACCGAAAAAAAATAATCTTCTCTTGTGATAAGAATTTGTAATAATCAATAGTTCTTTTTTTTATCGTTTATAATAAGAATATATGGTTTATTCAATAAATTATTAAAAAAGCGAAAATTTATTGGAGGTATTTCTTGCTAGAATCTTCTAATCGTGAATATTCGCGATCAATCATATAAATTCGAGATTTTTTTGCTTTTTTCTAGCGTCCTGCAGAAAACCTTACCTTAATTCGAAGTGTTTCTGGTTAATTGACAAGGTCATGTGGTATTCGGTCATTTTGAGAATGTTTATGTACCACTTCAATACTGTTACGCATTTGACCACACATGTCTTGTTGCTGGGTACATTATCAAAGAGGTTTGGGGGTGATGTGACTGGCAGCAAGGCGTTCAATGAAAATTAACTTTTAAACAACAATAATGTATGGTGGTCCTGAGGTTTGGGTTGATTAGTGTTCTGTTACATAACAATTCGAAGATAAATCTGCTCTTTTGACAAAAATATTAATATGTTGTTATATTCAGAATTATTATGGAATTCACCTTTAACTTATAAGGACATTCGCTAGGGATTCTCCTCGTAATTACCATTAAATTGTCGTTGGAAATCCCTTTTTTTTAACTAGTTCGTTTATTTACTAGGCTCAGTCGTGTGTGACACTTTGCGGAGCCAAAATCAGTAATGTTTGATTTACATTTTAAATAGCAGAATTTCTAGGTTAGTATTGGGTACCAATTACTCGTGGCGGGCTCGAGGTTAATGGGTAACAATTTCAATTGGAAGGATCTAGGTAGGAAACTGGTTTCTGAAGCCTCCTTCAGATACTACTCTCGGACGGTTGACCAAATCCTGACTGGGCAGGGGCAAGTAGCACAGGAACAGGAGGATAATAAGACTGGGACACAATGGCGGGAAATTGTTTGGAAAGGAGGGGATAGTCACATCAAACTCTAACATCAGACAAACAAAGGAATTCGTAGATCGCTTGCATGTAGGGAAGATCACGTGTTCCCAATACATCTCTTACTTCACGGAAGGGTTGTCTACCTCGGGCCACTAGGGTATCCAATAGTCGTGCTCTGGAGGCGTCATTACCCGGGCAATACCAAACTGCGTGATCGATGTCATCATAACCGGTTCTGCACCTACATATATTGCTGTCAACGAGGTTTATTCTATAGAGATGTGCATCTAGCGAGTAGTGGTTGGACATAAGTCTTGACATCACTCGAATGAATCCCCGACTTACATCCAGACCTTTGAACCACGCTCTCGAAGAAACATTTGGAATAATGGAATGTAACCACCGCCCAAGATAATTATTTGTCCAATCATTTTGCCAACTTAAAAGAGAACTCTGACGTACTAATGGGAAAAATTCATCATGTGAAATTCTTCTATCATAAATCTCGCCTTGTTGTGCGCCCACCTTTGCGAGAGAGTCTGCCTTCTCATTGCCTGGGATTGAGCAATGTGAGGGGACCCATACAAAGGTAATCATATATGATCTTTCGACCAGCAAACTCATCTGCTCCCTTACCTTTGAAAGGAAATAAGATGAGTGCCTACCTTGTTTCATCGACCGAATAGCCTCAATCGAACTGAGACTATCCGAGAAGATGAAGTAATGGTCTATGGGCATATCGGAAATCATCCCCAATGCGAAGTTAATTGCTGCTAGCTCAGCAACATAAACGGAACAAGGTTCCTGCAGTTTCCGAAAGGCGGTTGAGTATTCATTGAAGACGCCGAAGCCAGTGGATCCATCAATGCATGATCCATCAGTGAAAAATCTTCTATTGCAATTGACTTGTTGGTACTTTTCAGCAAAAATGTGGGGAATTGAGATAGGTCGAAGTTGATCTGGAACTCCTTGAATAGCCTGTTTCATGGAGAGATCGTAGTCAATGGGGGAACTGTAGTTAGTAAAGCATACACGAGAGGGGGTATAGCAAGGAAGGCTAATATCCGATGACATATAATTAAGATAGATTCGCACGAATCTAGACTGGATGCTCAATTCGAGCATTTCTTCGAAGTTTTCAATCACAAGGTTGTTACTGACACTACATTTAATCAATATTCTTAATGAGAGCTCCCAGAATCGGTTCTGCAGGGGTTTTACGCCCGCTAGGACCTCTAGGCTCATATTGTGTGTTGAATGCATACAGCCAAGGGCAATACGTAAACAACGATATTGAATACGTTCCAATTTGATTAGGTGGCTTTTTCTTGCCGAGTGGAAGCAAAAAGAGCCATACTCAAGAACTGAAAGAATAGTCGTTTTATATAGTTTAATGAGGTCTTCCGGGTGAGCACCCCACCATGTCCCGGAAATTGATCGTAGAAAGTTGATCCTTTGTTGACACTTTTGTTTCAAATACGTAATGTGGGTACCCCAAGTGCATTTTGAATCAAACCAGACTCCAAGGTATTTGAAGGTTAAAGATTGCGTAATGTCTCTGCCCAAAATATTTAGACGCAGTTGGGCTGGAAACCGCTTCCTTGTAAACACTACCAATTCAGTTTTTTGCGGTGAAAACTCGATCCCTAAATTTCTTGCCCAGAGAGACAGATTATTTAGGGAATTTTGCAATGGTCTTTGCAAGATTTCTGCACGTGGACCTCTCATGGAAACCACGGCATCATCTGCAAGCTGTCTAAGCGTACATTGATTATCTAAGCAGTTATCAATATCTTTGACATAGAAATTATAAAGTAAGGGACTTAAACATGAACCTTGGGGTAAGCCCATGTAGCTTATTCTAGAAGTTGTCAGTTGACCTAGATTGAAGGTCATTTGTTTTTCTGACAGCAAATTATACAAAAAATTATTTAAAATACCGGGTAATCCACTACTGTGCAAATTGTCTGACAGTATGTCTATGGAAACCGAATCAAATGCGCCCTTAATATCCAAAAAGACTGAAGCCAATTGCTCCTTGTGCGCAAAGGCCAGTTGAATATCAGATGAAAGCATCGCTAGACAATCGTTTGTTCCTTTACTCTTCCGGAAACCAAATTGCGTATTTGAAAGTAGATTGTTTGATTCAACCCAATGGTCAAGTCTTAATAGGATCATTTTTTCTAATAATTTCCTCAGGCATGATAACATAGAGATCGGACGGTAAGAATTGTGATCAGACGCTGGTTTCCCAGGCTTTTGAATAGCTATTACTTTAACCTGTCTCCATGCTGGTGGAACTATATTGAATTCCATAAATGAATTATATAGGTTAAGTAATCGTCTTTTAGCGATATCGGGGAGGTTTTTTAGAAGGTCAAATTTGATCATATCGCTTCCCGGAGCAGAGTTATTTGATGAAAGAAGTGCCATTGAAAATTCCAGCATTGTGAATGGTTCATCCAGAGAACCGTTACTTCGGGCTGTATCCCGTAAAGTTGGTTGTGCTGGAACAGAATCTGGACAAACCTTTTTAGCGAAGTCGAATATCCATTGGGAGGAGTATTCTTCACTCTCATTGGAAGATGCGCGGTTTCGCATATAGCGAGCCTTTTTCCAAAGCGTTGACATCGAGGTTTCTCTAGAAAGTCCCTCGATAAAAGTACGCCAGTAATTTCGTTTCTTTGCTTTTAGTAAGTTTTTAAGCTTTTTTTCAAGCTTTAGATACTTATCAAAAAGCTCAGATCTTTCATGTCTACGATAATCTTTAAAGGCATTGGATTTCTCAAGATACAACTTTGTGCATTCGTCATCCCAGCCAGGGGTGGCGGGTCTTCTTTTGAGCGATGCACTTGGAACACGTCGTTTCTGAGCTTCTAATGCGCTCTTGTAGATTAGCTCGGTAAAGAAACGATACTCTTCCAGTGGTGGTAGAGGATCGGTAGAATCAATACCAAGAGTTACCGCCGATACAAATTTTTGCCAATCAATGTTCCTCGTGAGGTCAAAAGGAACTTGAATTGACTGATCTGTTTTTAGACGACCACTTTTGATTGAAATAATAATTGGCAAGTGATCACTACCATGGGGATCATTGATAACCTTCCACAGACAATCTAATGATAGTGAGTTAGAGCACAAAGAAATGTCAAGACGGCTCTCTCGAGCAGGAGGGTTTGCTATACGTGTTGCTTCACCAGTGTTCAAGATAGTCAAGTTGAAATCGTCGCACAAATCATAGAAAATACCCGCTCTATTGTCATCGTATGATTCGCCCCAACCAGTACCGTGTGAGTTCATATCGCCCAGTATTAGAACTGGAGATGGAAGGATATTAACTGAACTCCAAAGCTGACGGCGGTTTATGGAAGTCCTTGGAGGGACATATACAGAAGCTATGCAAAGATCTTTGTTCTTCACATTTATTTGGCAAGCGACAATTTCAATGCCTGAAATTATTGGGATTGAGATTTTATAGAAGGGGTAGCACTTTTTGATCCCCAAAAGTACGCCACCATATGAATCATCTCGGTCCAGGCGGATAATGTTAAAATCGTGGAAGTTTAGTTCATCTTCAGAAGAAAGCCAAGTTTCACAGAGTGCAAATAT